TTTTTTTGCAATCATCTACAATTACCAACTGATAATTTGACCTAGTATTGATAACATTACATTGTTATCATGTAATCAGAAAAGTTTCTTTTATTGAAAATTGATAGCAAAAAAAAAAGAAAAGAAAAAGAGAAAAAATGGGAATTCTCGTAGTTCCATATTTCATGAATGTTTCCGATTAATATCAATTAGATTAATCATTATCAATAATACTTATCATTCTCTCTTATCAAATTCATTATCGTTTTCATTTTTTAAATATTGCTGTTATTTTTTCCTTATTTTTCCTACTGAAAAGGAAAAAGAAGGAAAAAAAACGTTATCAAATTGTTATCATTATATATCACTATATCATTGATTATCATAATAGTAACTTAAATAATCCACTAGGGTAGTATTATGATAAATAATATGTGGTCGTTAGCCTTCAATAATTTAACTGGAAATTTGCATATTTTAAGGATGAGAACATCATAAATATTGAATAATTACAATCTAATTATAATTTTTAATTACAATTTAATTATAATTTCTAATTGCAAAAGAAATAATTACAATTTTTTTTCTTTTCCTTTTGGAAATAGACTATACTATTTGGATATTTAGTGAAGAAGGATTAAAAAAAATTTCAATTTTTTCTCCCTTATTTCCTATTCTCTCTCTCTCTCTCTCTCCTCTCCTTTTTTTTTTTCTCTCATTTAAGAATAATTATTTGTTAATACTTTGAGGAATTAATCAAATAAATTGTATTGCAGAAAGCGGCACTAAAGATCCGACCACGCAGGATATTTCCGCGGCTAAAATGGCAACATCTTTATCATCAATGGGCATTAAGACAAATACCAAAAGCTTATCAGGGTATAGTTTGTAAATTTTCCAATTGATATAATTACTTAGCTAGATTAACCGGGAAAAAAAAAGAAATTTAGAAAAGGAAAAATCAATAAATGATTTTTTTTTATCACAAGATCGCAAGATTAGTGCAAAACTAGCCAAAAAAAAAAAGAAAATACAGTAGTAAAAATACAAGATGAACTTTTCCAATTGTTAACCTAATTACTTAAATAGATTAACTATTTAAAAGACTAAAAAAAAATTTAAAAAAAAATCGATAAATAATTATGATCAAAAAAATAATTAAGAAAAATAAATGATTAGAAAAAAATCAAAAAAAAAAATCGATAAATGATTACTGACCGTTTAAAAAAGTAAGAAAAAAATTAAAAAAAAAAAAATCGGAAAAATCGATATATGAAAAACCGAAAAATCAATAAATGATTAGAAAAAAAAAAAAAAGGAAAGGATGTGATTAATAACAAACAATATGATGAAAATTTATCACCTTTTCATATAACTCTATCATTCATTGTTGTTATTTTTTGTTAATCCTTTTTATATCATTGAAAAAAAATAAAAAAAAAATTAGAATTTAATTAGATTTAATGAAAAAAACAAAATATGAAAATGAAAGTAAAAAATAATTAATAAATAATAAATTGCAAATAATTTAATTGAAATCATTTCAAGAAAAGATTTGTTGGATTTCAGGAAGAGATGTATTAAATCCATATATTGATAGAGCATTACTGGAAGAGAAAAATGATGTTGATTTAAATTCATCCGATTTAGAACATGGTATATTTTATCTGAAATGTACTAATTGTTAATTAACAAGATATATATGTGCGATAAATGCAAATTTTATTAATTAATCAATCTTCAATTGATGGTTATTGTATGCGTGTAAGTTTAAGTTTAACCGCGAGATAAAATTAATTACTCATTAGCCTTACTTTCATCAATATGAAAAATCTACCTTTTACATTGATTTCTCTAGTACTGGAACAATGCATCACCTTTTCTTCCGCATTAAAAAATTGAATTATACCTGCTGACCTAGCTAATTAGAGTAATGATATATTGTAGCAAGTATGAATCAGCATGTTAGATATCTGTAAGGGTAGTTAATTTGCTCGGTAAACAAATTTAATTAAACCTATCGACCCTAATTTTTCTTTTTCCCCATTCCTTCTCTTATCAAATTCAGCAATGAAACATTTGTCATTTTAAAAAGATTACTGACTGATTCATGATTGTTTTCCTTTATTTACTTGTCACCAAACAAGTGATGTAACAATAAAAACTATGACAACGACAGGAAGGCACAAACATCCAACCCTGATTACTTTGAGAAAAACCTAAAGAACTGATATAATTCATTAACAACCTCATAAAACTTCAACAGCAAAATAGCATGTCTTGCAAAGAGCATAGATGAGCATTTAGTCAATTCTGATATTTCTGGAAATGACATCCTCATACACTCTAAAATCAGCCACAGTCTCAGAAGGTATGATTTTTTCATGTTATCTTCCAATTAATCTGAAATCATTCCCCATCTGTTAAGCTCTGTATTCTCTTCTTATTCAAAATGATCTTGTCTATTGAAGTACTTGAATTATTGCATAAAATCAATAAGCTTCAAGTAATAGTAGTAGTGAAATTTTAGTCTGTTTGCCGATGTCATCTCTAGACTAGAGATCAGTTACACAAATACCGGTTTGAAGATAACAACAAATAACAGGGGAAAAATTTTAAATTTTGCATAAGATTTGGAGGAGAATATAACCATCAAATAATACGCATTTAATTTCATAAACAGTAACAACCAACAATCAGCAATAATGGAACATTAGAGAAAGTGAATTGCAAACCAAACAATAAGAACTAGTAAGCTAAATAGTCACCCATAAAGTTTCTATTCATTTCAAAATTAATTTCATAATAAAGTGTTACGCAAAGATAGCATTACAAATGCTCATGACCACTGTCTCTTCCGTAAATGTGGTGACGTTAGCGATCGATCCGGAACACTCCATAGAATCGGTTCTCCTGGACTTCCAGCTGAACGATTAGATCGATTGGATAACAGTGACATGTCAGGTGAACCCAAGAAACTTTTTCCGCTATTATAAGCTATCGGCGGATATCGCTCTGCAATTCATCTTGTATTTATTACCTATATTTCTGGGAGATCTTTTTAGTAATGCAAATTTCACGATAATAAAATCCTCATCATCTTCTACGCCTGACAGCTTACTTTCACTTCATTTTAAAAACATGAACATGCAAACTTCCACAATGTCTAAGTGATGCACAAATGTCTATGCAGTACGCAAAGATCAATTTAAAAAAAGGAAAAAAAGAATTCTAACCTGGATAATCACAGGCAAACGATCCATGTATAGTAGAATCAGAAGTAGAAAAAGAGCTAAATAAGTAGGATGGAAAGCTAAATCCTCTACAGTACGCTGCAAATATATTTATTTAATTCATACGGTTGAAAGTTAATAATTCAAATAAGAATTTGTGGGAAGCGAATGATGAATAACTTAATATATACGAAAACAACTTTTTTCTCCGATTGATTAACAGAAAAACTCATCCAATACTTTAAAATGCATCGAAATGTGAAAAAAGACTAGGCATTCAAACTGCATTATTCTTGGTCAAATATGTTTAAAACGAAAATAATGATCGAAAGTGCAACAATAATAAAGTACCTATCAGGACGATAAGAAATCCGGCAGTAAGAAGCGACGCACATACTTGAACAATTGCTGATTCCAGGAATGAACGCAAGAGACCCATCAGATGATCAGAAGCTGTAAAACATTAGCTTTGAACAAGCAAATGCAATAGATAGCATTTACGGTACGAACAAGGCAAAAGAATTGTAAAAGCAAAATGTATGGACAAAAAGAAAACTGATAACAGCAAGTAAAGTACCACGTAAAACAGTTTTTGAAGTATCTCCATGAAGAATGATAGTTACCGGTACTACCTCAAACTGCCCCGTGATTGCACTTTTGACCGTAATATTGCATTTATCTAACAATTCCTGCCACAAAAGCACTGAATTCATGTTCAACTGAAATGAACCTTCGCTTGTGAGATAGCATAGAAAAGTGACAAATTAAGTTTCAGTACGCGAAATAAAACATTCTTTATTCATTTCTTCCTGCCATTAATCAAATAACTTCCAAATCATCTATTACTTATCAGACATTAGGAAAACATACCTCAACACGATACCGTAATTCAGTGAGTGATGTCGATTTAATTTTTCTTATACGTAAAACACCACCGCCATCAGCTTCAACTGATATCTTGCTAGCAGCAGATGTGGATGACTGTATAACTAGGTCGGCTTCAAGTGCGTTTACGTTGTTTAAACGTATCTCACGTTGCACAATTTCAAAACGTGAGTAAAAAGTAACTATTACGCTTGCCTCCTTTACCTGAAATATTCAAGCCGTTCTTTAACTTTCGATGTCAACAAAACGGTTCACCCATCCTCCATTCTACTTTAATTCATTTTAAAACTGAGATAGTAGCAAGCAACAAAAGAAATTAAAAAATAAAACAGAATCAGGAAGTAGAAAAACATGAAAAAATAAGAAAAAACAAAAACTGAAGCGTACAAACCTTGCCAGCACGATTCCAAAGAGCGGAGATATTTAAATCAAGATTTTGATAATCGATCAAAGAAACTGGTCCCTCGAATGTTTGCTCCACTAGGATACAGCCATATTTACCTGAAGAAAGAGGAAATTTAAAAAGGCTCTACCGAATATATCCTTCATTCTCGTTTGCTTATTGATGTATGGGTGAATAAACTGTTGCAAAGTCTTAATATAATGATAATATGTATATTAATATAATATACTCTTATAATTTCTACAAATCCAAAAAATTATCTGATTGGTAAGTTTGCTTGAATAAAAAACTTTTAGAATTCATGACATTAAAGACAGCTTTATCCTTTAACTTATTGATATCGAAAAATTTACAGTATCTTCTGTAGCATTATTATATGTGACCACAGTCTCAAAACCACAAAACGCAGCAAATTCATCACCTAACGTAGGAAGAAATGCTGAACGTGCAGCAAATAAGCTTGTTGCCAATACATTCACTTTGTCCACGAAAGCAACAGTACAATCAAAAGGTGCATCCAAAATCAGTTTCTCCAATAGCACAGGCCCACAATCTGAATCCCGTGAAACTGTTTACAGTTTGCTAGCAATATTGATGAAGTAATGTGTGCCTTTGAATAATATCAGCGGAAAGAGAAACAACACACAAAACTGCAGGAACATATCTATGCTATGGTATTGTTTATAAACTGGTCTATTTGAGTTACATCTTTTGTTGCAATTCCTCAGCAAAAGATTAGCATAATTGAGAAATTTCTCATTTTTTCGTCAAACAGACTTGAGATTGATTTTAACAAATCAATATATGACAAAAAGATAATTAGGAAAAAGATACCATAAGTATTAGATGGGTTCTGTTCAATGCTGTCAACGATTACTGGAAACAGATATTGATGATTTCTTATGTTCGAAACAAATTGTGGACCTGATAAAAAACGGAGCGACTTTGCAGGAACAACTTTGCGCTGCAAGGAATATAAAGCCACATTAAAATAGGAGGTTTACGAAGCCTGATGAGAAAAAAGTAAAATTAATATAATTAAAATGTACTCGAAATCGAAAAAAAAATTTAAAAACTACTTGAAACATTTGCAAGGTCATTGGAATGGTTGGAATGGAATGGCCACAGGAATGCTTTTTAAGGATTTAAAAAAATTAATTAGAAATTAAAACAATTTTGAATGAATTCATCAGGTCACAGATGCATAAAATGTTGTACTTAATTCATCATCATAGTAACGGCCATTATGGGATAAAGGGAAAATATAAATGCAAATTTTATGACTCTTTTGATAAAAGTGCTTTATCTGGTGAACAAACATAAAAAAAAAATTTTTCAATATCTTAGAAGCATATTATCTAAATATTTATTAAGAAGTGATAGTGTTGGCACGATTAAAAATATACCTTGGTAAAGATGGTTTGTTTGTGGAAATCATATGAAGCAACCACAGTGTTACCCGTATCCGCTGCTACAGCAATGCCATTTTTTTCATCAATGAATTGAAAATGTCGCTTTCCATCTAATTCCTTCCATCCAGATACAGGTAGCGGTGAATTGAAACAAATGATTTCGGAAACGACCACAGATTGTATTGATGGCCTAATTACATCACCCACCCGAAGACGCAGGAATACGTTTAGGTCCGGATTATTTCTGTCCCATACCTCAACAAAATGCACGTAATATTTGCAAACGATAACGGTATAAGAAACATTGCAAGTAACTTTAGGTATAATTGACTGCTTGTAATCGTCAGCATGTCTAGTCGAAAATAAATTAGCTATAAGTAAATATTAATCATGTAAGAATAAAGCAAATCTAGAAGAATGTGGATCAAAATGTCTGGTGAATAAAAAAAGTAACTAAGAAAAAGATAAGACAGTTAACTCACCTTAAAAACTGTTTCGCCAAAATCCTTTAGATGAATATCGAATGAACTGTTAGCGTTTCCAGGATGAATTTCGGTCAAATCAAAACTATAATAAAGCATTAATCGCTTTGAAAAGCAGTGATAGCAACAGGTGGAAATATCGCAGCCGGAAATGACTTATACGAACTCTAATTTTTCGCCAAGCTGTTTTTATTCTGCTTCAATTCTGCAAGTTATTGGAAACAGAAAAGTTCCCTTAGGGACTGCATCTATGATGGAAGTAAATAACAAATACCTCAAACACATCATTCTTTATCAGGTGACAATTTCAAGAGTATTGACGAATTCTCCTAATTGTCAAACTGTAAAAATATACGGCAAAAATTAGAACGAGCTTAACAGAACACTCACCGATGAGGTCTGTAATTTAGCGAATGCTTTGCAGCATCGAACAGACGGCCGAAGTGATCTCGTGATTCAACATCGACATGGAGGCGGTAACCGAGAGGAAAAACTGTTAACGGCTTCTCCAGCACTTCAGAACATCGCATCTTCAGATGGAGGGATACGACAGGAGTAATCTGTAATTTTAATACTTAAAAACAAGTGTATTGACATCGCATTATCAAAATGTAGCCGAGAACGAAAAAAAAACATTTAGAACGATGCATTATACATAGAAGTTGGAAGATCCTTTCAGTGAGTGACATTTATTAACGAAATAATGGATGGATTCATGTTCTGAATAATAATTTGCCTTGCAAAATAAGATAACTGTGTCACGTAAACTAATATAACTTACGGATACTGGTAAATATATCAGTTCTTTATGAGGATATTTTGTTTCCTTCAGAACCAAAGCAGCATCACCAACAGTGTGAGCTAGCAGTGTATTGTTGCTGTCACCGATAACTGATATATAAGTGGAAAGTTCAGGTGGTACCATAAATTGTACTGAGCTATCTTTCCTGAAGGCATTAAATATGTTGATCATAGTGTCTTCCCTACTTTTTATATGAAAGTACTTTTTATATGAAAGGAAAAGTAACAAACGAAAACCAGCCTGAGCAATAAAGAAAATCAAAAGAAGAAGTTTGAATTACTGACAAGTATGGCAACATTCAACATGTAAAATGGCAACGTCACAAAAAGCGCTATAGGAATAATTTTGGATCATGGTTTATAGTTATTGTGTTGGGATGCGTAAGAAGAAAAGTTATATCACGAAGTTACATCTGTTGGATAATTGACTTGTATGTTAGCATTTTCTCAACATAGAGAACCGTACAATGATGATTAAGTGTAACTACAAAATTACCTGTTACTTTTCAAATCAAGTTCTGCATCTGGAGAGAGACGCAAAGCGTGGGGATACCGTGCTGGAATCATTAACTGTAACGGTTCAATGACTGTCACTATTAACTGATCTTCATAATGTTTGACTTTCTCGAAGAATGCCTTTGAATTTTCAGAAGCGGTCACTAATACGTGAATTACCGCTTGTCCAACTGCCAATGCTTCTAGTTCTATTTGAAATCGATTTTCCGATGATTCAGCTACGAAAGCCTGCAAATGATATTACCGTTAGAATAATGATTAATTTGGCTAAGATTCTAATCAATAAAATCTCTTCCCTATTCCCTCAGTTCGTGAACTTTTTTTGGAAAGACAGTTTAACTGTAACCAATTTGGAGAACTAATAGTAATGAATAATGCACTGAACTGTCTCCCTCGCTTAATGTACATATAATATCCGAAAATTATAAGTAATTAAAAACGAAGGCTCTTCATGTAGCCTCTTCAAAGTTCCATCCAAAAAGCAGAAGTGAATAATTACATCAATTGGCGATATTGTTTCGATGATGCCTGGTGTGGCAATTCTCCAGGAGATCTTTAATGGATATAGTGCTCCACCGAATGAAAACGGTGTTTCATTTTCATTAAGACCATCAACGCGAGCCCATCCTCTTTGACCGACTTGTAATCGTGATGTAGAGAGGTGTATATGGACGCCGGTAAGTAACACTGTTTTGACAACAACTTGATCCTAGAATAATCGTCCTTGTAAATTTGCGTTGCTAATATAACACCAAAAGCCATTATTTAGATTTCCTTCTAATGGCTTAAATATTTCGTATTTATGAAAAAAATTAATCTTTTAAGGGAGAGATGAAGATACTTCAATAGATGGAGCGTTGTTTTCTAGATTCATAGTGGCTGTAATTTTCGTATAACCAACTGCTTTGCTTGTTATCAGTCCATCTGATCCCACAACAGCTACTGAAGTGTCATTGAGATGATACTGCACAGGTGGTAACGGTTGAGGTCCACCAGATATTTCTAACTGCAGTGATGGTATTATGAAGTGTTAAATCAGTTTTCCAAACAACTCATATCTACTAATAAAAACAGTCCTAAAAAAAAATTTGATTGCTTCAAGTTTTCGGTTACAAAAATGAAGTTTCGTTTATTTTAAACAGTGAATTCATTCATTTGAATTCCGATATTGCATTAATTTACAGAACACAGCACAGTATTCCTAGTTGTGAAATAGCCGCTCAAGTTCCTCCAAAAATTTTTCATTGGTTAAAAGCCAATATCAATTAAATTGTGGTACCTGGAAAACAGAATCAGGAATAAGAGTTATCAGTTTCGGTTGCAATTGCAACGGTGCATAAACTTGAATGCTATGAGACTGACTTTGCAATATTCGTCCATTGGCGCGCCGTGCGGATGCGCGAAGTGTTACAATACCAATAGCATTACCTCGCAAGACGTAATGTAGAGCATCAATTCTTAAATAAGTATTTGTATTCAGTCATAGAGCTTTAGAAATTTATAACTTAAACGATTAGCAGCATCCATCCATATGGCACGGATATATCTGCCATATGAATCGAGAAAGAATATCTTAATGAATGAAAAGTGCAATAAAATAGTTGAAACACCTGGTTATTACTAAAATATTGGATGATGCATTCAGCTGCACATTCATGATATTAGCATCATCCGTTACGAAGAAGAGGCCTTCCATATCACGAATTTTAAGCTGCAGTTCTTGTTCGGTGTTCAGCGCTGTCTACAATAAAAGGTCCTTTATTGGAGGCATGATTTACAAATCAAAAGAAAGCAATGAATTAAAAAAGAAAGAAAAAAAAACAATTAGTGGAAACTGACATTTTAATTGGCCAGAATCAGAAAAGGCGGACCAATTCCAGTTTTATTCATCGTAGAAAATAAACGAAATTAAGTGACGGAGTATATAAGTGCTACAAAAGGCTTATAGAAAGTATGAAGCTCAGGAAATACCAATACTTACAAATGCAGGTGCTTCGATCAAAATTTCTTCCACATCTGTGACCGAAACCGCAGCTGTGATATTTTGGTTGAGACATAGGTCCAAAAATTGAAGCTTCGATTTACCAACAGACAATGGATACACCTTGAAAGGATGTTATCATAGGACTATAGGTAGTAAAGTGATGTGATATAACTATGTTTAGAATAAAACTATTGTGATAGTATTTAGTGAAATTGACAGATATGTAATTAGTTAAAAATCAAGCTCGCAGAGAATATATTTCCTCACCTGCGTGATCCCACTAGACATCTCAGCGGCCAGTACGTTGGAATCATAAGCTACCAAAGCAAAATGTCCTGAACCACGTTCCAGTCGAATAGTTTTTGAAGCACTCTTCTCGTTTAACAATACGACCACAGACGGCACCGCTTCCGCATTTTGGACCAAATCTGCCTGCATTTTACTTCGCAACTCTTGTGGTAAACGAAGCTGTCGATTTCCGATCTTATATCCTCGCGTCCATGCGATTATTTCTAATGTACCAACAATTTCCCGTGGTTTCAGAATGCCGCGTACTAAACATTGAACTGGTTCAGATAATGAATAAATGTAGTTAAGCAATTGTTCCTTAACTTATTGACTTAAATAAATTTCTTGATTAACGGCGATGTAATATGGAAGTAGTGAAGAATACAATAGTTATCTATTGACCCAAATGAACAGATATTATATTTAGTGTCAGAAAAATCACAATTCTTCCACTTCTTATCAAACGCTAGTTAAGAAGACCATTAATGAGATCTTGAAATATAGATGCATATACTAAGTTGAAAATAAAATACCTTCGCTTAGTTCGCTTCCTTTATCTTCTTCCACATAAGCTACACTTTTATCACTTACTTCCCAATTCACTTTGAGAGAAGTCAAAGAATCAAGTTGCTTCTCCAACCCCATAGATGGTCCTGATTCACAATGTCCAAAAGCCGATACTGCTAACGTAGATGGTTCACTGCAGCTAGCAGCACGCTACAACATATAAGCTAGATATATAGATTTTCCAGGCCTTCGTCAACCTATCTGAACAAGAGAAGGAATACTTCTGGATAAATCAAATTAAGTGTAAGGAGAAAAAGATTTCACTAATAAAAGAACACAAACCACGTTTGTCGGACATTTACTCCGATGAGGCCTTAACAAGGATAACGATAGCCGTGTGGGCACAGCACAGCATACTCTTAATTTTGTTTGAGACTTAGCAGGTAGTGGATTTGTAAAAGAAGCTTCATTACCAACAACAACCACGATAAGCTGAAAACCAGAGCGATATTGTATCCCAAAGCAATAATTTTCTTCGAAGAAATTAACTCTTACCAGCATTGATAATTACAATCAATGAATGAAATTAATGAAACAGATTACTGGTTGATAACGTGAGGTCTTTTCAAAAATCCCTTACATAAGTATATCTTTTGCGATCATGCACCAAAGGTAAGCCTATGAATGGCTGAAAAATTTGCTCATATTTTAGCTGATATGATATAAAAGCTTACCACATCTCCCTTATTATCCTTACACGTGACAATAGTTTGTCCATCCTGAGAAGAAAAGTCACTATTACTGATTAAATTTGATGTGTCACTGTAGATCACTGCAAAGCAATATCCTTAGAAACATGGAAACTGAGAAACATGAAAATCATAATTCAGCACAATTACAGTAAAGATAAACCAAATTACATTTTGAATAATATTTCGATGGATCTAGAATCCACGGCCTCGGGCCACCAGATGTACGGATAAAGAAGTTACTACCGAGCATAGCAAATACTTCTGCAGGTGTTTCCAGCTGAAGAATTCGTCAACTTAATTAATATGAAAACCATTTGCATTTAAATATTTCCCCTTTCCTCAGAGTAAACAATAAACCGTGGTCGATATCACCACGATATTTATATTCAATAACATAGCTCAGTTACAGAAGATCCGAATATACAATATGTCTGAAAAACAAACCTTTAATGGTAGATAAGCGGAAATCTGAATCGATGAAGACATATTACCAAAATGAACAGTTGCAATGGTATCACCAGAAGCAATAGCAGTAAGTACAAAGCCACAGCAACCATCATCGTGTAAAGGTGTTCTTCCACAATCATCTAAATATTTATATGTTCGTAATATGAAACAAACAAACAAACACACACAAATTAAATACTTCTTTCAAATATCCCAAATTACCAAAGATTTTAGGCTCTTCACTAAATAACTTACTTGATGCCACTCGAAAAATGTCACTGTCCTTTATACTCATCGATAAATCAACACGACGACAATCGGATATAGTTACTTTTCTACCTCCTGAACTGGCGTAAAGAGAAATATACAAGATTAAGTCACTACCAACCTGAAATATATCAACTGAATTAATCTGGTCGTACATAATAATACCAGCTTTACTTTCTCAATGTTACGCAATTTACCACTTTTCATGTCCATTCGGCAACATTGATTAATTACGCATAAATATATATATATACATATATATATATATAT